TCTTTCGATCGTATTTTAAAACTTTCCATAACGAAAAATCCCAAGATTTTCCATTTAATTGCAAAGATCAATCCTCTAGATAAAATACCATGTGAAAATCATAGGTGTCATCCAAAAAGAGTTTTAAGGAGCTTTTAAGAAAAGTTATTAAAATTTCTTAAAAACAATATTGTGTAAATAATTAGACTAAATTTATATCACATATACAATATATAATTATTAAACAAATATGGAAGAAAATAATATGTGGTAATTAATATAGAAGATTTTCTTTAATAAATATAAAATATATGTGAGAATATTTTTTTTTCAATGATTATTACTCCTTCTGTATCAAATTAGATGATTTGCTAGAGGTTTGTTTTTGTATCAAATTATATGATTTTTGAGTTTTCAAGACAAAATTAAATGTATTTTTATTTATTTTGACTATTTATATTTTAATAAGAGTTTACAGGATCCAAAATAAAAATTCAATAAGAGTTTTAAGGAATATGTCATCATTTCGACCCGAAAAAATGAATATGTCATTTAAATTAACTAATAAAAATATTTTAATTAAAACTATATGCTATGGTGGAAATCACTATAAGTTTTTATTAATTTAATAACATAAACTCATTAATATATATTTAAAGAGTTAAGTTTAACTAAATGTAATATTTAGACTTACTATATCATCTATTTAAAAAAAAATTGATATATTAAAGAGTTTTTTATTATTATATTTGTAACAATATTATTTATTTGTAGATGATAACTACACTTACAAATATTTTTATATTTTATTATTAGAAAACATATATTTTTTGTTTGGTACGTCCGACAAATTTATATAAATCTAAACTTTATTTGATTTATCTCATACTCTACTATTTACACAAATAATAAAACTCAATTTGACACTTCAAATAAATTGAAATAAATAACATTTGTTTTAGTTTTAATATTTTATGCAAAATTGATCAAAGCATATGCATTGAAATATGTTTAGTACAAATTTAATTTTATTACATTTATGCACAATACATATCATTTTGTACGTTTATAAATATTAGAATATACATCTAAATATTACGATCAATTAGAATAGTATATTTCAATATTTAATCTCACACTTGACGTGGATCAAAATATAGTTTTACATTATTCGTAGTATGAAGCGATTATAGTATGTTTAAAAGATTTGGGGG